AGGGTTACAACAAACAGAAGGAAGGAGAGGTGTGCAGGCTTAAAAAGAGCCTATATGGGCTTAAACAAGCCTCCAGAGAATGGAACCATGAATTTTGTGATAAGTTGCTATTATTTGGTTTTAATCAGTCACAGCATGATCACTGCCTGTTCACAAAGTCTAGTGGAGACACATTCTTGGCTCTCTTGGTTTATGTGGATGATGTACTAATCATGGGACCAAGTTTAACCCTGATTAACAGCCTTAAGAGCTATTTGGATAAGGAATTTACAATTAAGGACTTGGGATTTGCTAAATTTTTCCTGGGAATTGAGATTGCTAGAGGTGAGCATGGGACTTATTTGAATCAGAGGAAATACATTGTGGATTTGTTGAATGATTTAAAGATGGGACATAGCAGAACAGCTGCTACACCTTTACCATATGGCTTGGTGTTGAAAGAGAAACATGGCACTCCTTTGGACAATGCAGATGTGTACAGAAGGCTTGTGGGGAGACTGTTGTACCTAAATCTCACCAGACCAGACATTTCTTTTGCAGTGCAGCAATTAAGCCAGTTTGTCAATGATCCCTACTCGACTCATTGGGATGCAGCAGTGCATGTGTTGAGGTACTTAAAGGGGACTACTACTTTGGGCTTATTCTATCCAACTGCTTGTGACTTTAACTTCTCAGCCTACTGTGATGCTGATTGGGGAGCTTGTGTTGATACAAGAAAATCATTAACTGGATTCTGCATATTCCTTGGCTCCTCACTTGTGTCTTGGAAAAGCAAGAAGCAGGCAACAGTCTCAAAGTCTTCAGCAGAATCAGAATATAGAGCTCTTAGCTCTACAGCTTGTGAATTGCAGTGGTTGGCTTTCATTGCTCAAGACTTGCAGCTTCCAGTTTAGCTGCCTATTCCTTTGTTTTGTGACAACCAATCAGCACTTCACATAGTGAAAAATCCGGTTTTCCATGAACGTACTAAACACCTAGAAATAGACTGCCACTTGGTGAGGAACAAGTACAAAGAAGGTCTTCTTTCACCTTGCTACATTCCCTCTTCACAGCAAGTTGCAGATGGATTTACTAAGTCTCTTGGAGGTCTTCCTTTCCGCACTATGGTGGTCAAGTTGGGCATGACAACTTCTCTTTGTCAGACCACTTGAGGGGGGTGTGTTGAGATTGTGACCATTTTTATATTTTTTTCCTATTAAGTAGTGACTAAGCAGTGTATTGTTTGAGCTTTATTTTCTGTTGTTTTTTCTTCTTTCATTTAAAAACGTGTTTGCGCTTTTCATTTCGCATTTGATATAAATAGGGCCTGCTGTAATATGACCGTTGTTTTTTTTTTTTTGGTTAATGAAAAATTCAGAAGGGATAATTTTCCCCCAAAATATCTTTCTTCTTTTCTACAGTCTAGGTGAAAGATTCTCACGCTTCGGATGCTGACATGGCAAAAATCTATGCTTCGTGATGTTGTTTTTATATTGGCCTTGTTTGGTAATCAGCGGTTAGCTGTTAGCTGTCAGCTGATTGCATTAGCTGTTTTGACCAGCTGATTGTGTTAGCTGTTTTGACCAGCTGATTGTATTAGCGGTTTGTAAAAAGCGTTTGGTAAAATTAGTTGTTTTTAATTAGCGGTTGACATGTAAAATTGCATATAAGGACACCAACATACCATATCATTCTAAATTATGTTGAACTTATAATTATTTAGAAAAATAAAAATAATTAATATTTTAAATATTTATTAAAGTGATTTAAATTTTAAAAAAATAATTAATAATAAGAATTGAAAATATTTTTCAATCGAGTAAATAAGTTCACGCCATATAAACAAAGCCAATAAACAAGTCATGACTAATTAAAAATATAAATGTGAGTCAATTACAATATCTGCTATTACAATAAAAAAAAAAAAAAAAAAAA